ACAGGTAAATCCACACGATTCTAAATAATTCAAATAAAATGACTGGAAGAGGGCAGTGGAAAATTACTACTGTGAGAGCAATCTGAGCAAGGATAACTGGGCACTATCATTCGCTCCAGAATTCTTGTGTTTCATAGGACAGATCTGAGTCCATTCAGCAGTGGAAAATAAAGGGTAACAGAAGAGAGCTACCATGGTTACTGTAACGTTAGAGGTTTGCAAGACTCTACTGAGGAGATGAGTTCCCTTCTCCCAGAAAGATCGATCAATGTCATTTTACACACAAAAAAACATTACACAGCTCAAACTGCCACAGGGTCAGCTCTTGGGAAACACAAGCCAGATTGTAACTAAGTAGGATTAAAGGATTACATTTCATTTATATGTTCAATTGTCTCTCTCAGCTTTTCTTCTTATTACCATAGTACTGGGGACGTTTATACTTGGCCTTCTTAAAAAATATACTATTCTCAACTTATCTGAAGAGAAAAAGAATACCAATACTTGGTAGAAGCAAAAAGAAATAAAAAAAATATAGTGTATAGATGTGTAATGGCAATATAAAATCAGCCTGGTCATATTAAAAAAAAAAAAATGAGATGGGTTTGCCAGTCCTGTTCCCATAGGCCCCCTTTTGTCTGCATCCCATCTTTTCTTCTGCGAATTCCGAATGGGCAATGAGAGGAAAGTCCCCCCTCTTCCAAAGTACAACTATCCAGGAGCCCATTTTCCCCTCTCATCTTATTGTCCATGACAGATTTTAAATGGTCACAAATTCCTTGACATTTCCTCATGGAGATGAAGACTTATATTCCCTCTCCTTGAATTTAGGCAGCCTCTGTGACTTTTTTTTTTTTTTTTTTAAGAGACAAGTCTCATTCTGTCGGGTGGAGTGCAGTGGCATAATCCTGGCTCACTGCAGCTCCAAATCCCTGGGTTCAAGCAATTCTCCCACCTCAGCCTACAAAGTAGCTAGGACTATGCCCAGCTAATTTTTTAAAATTTCCTTTCAGAGACAGGGTCTCAGTGTGTCTCCCAGGTTGAAGGGCAGTGGCACAATCACAGCTCAGTGCAGCGTTGAACTCGCGGGCTCAGGTGATCTTCCTGCTTCAACCTCCTGAGTAGCTGGGACTACAGGCACTCACCACTGCACCCTGCTCTTTGTGACTATTTTGATAAACAGAATGCTGTGGAAATGATGCGGTCTGGTATCTATGCCCAGGCCATAAGAGATTGGAATCTTTGATCTTGGAGCCTGGAGCTGCCATGTAAGAAGCCTGTATCCAAAAAGAGCTGGCGGAGCCCAGCCTTCAGTCATTCCTGCTAAGGTACCAGGTCAGCTGCCAGCTGAATACCACGAGTGGCCATTGTTTGAAGTCACTAAGTTTTGGTGGTTATTTTATTGCATAGTAATAGATAACCACAGCTTGGTCCTAGAACAAGGGGGTAACTTCAGTTTGCTGGCTAAATCAGGCCTCTCATGCCTCTATGAAGTTTGATTGGAACACAGCTACACCCATTTCTTTACACACTGTCTATGTTTGCTTTCCTGCTCAAGAGCAGAGATGAGGAGTTTTGCAAAGCGGTCTGTGTAGCCCACAAAGCCTAAGATATTACTATCTGGCCCTTTACTTAAAAAGTTTACTGATCTCTCTGATCTATCTCCTAGAAAAAGCCTTACCCAATACTTTTCTTGTCTTTTTTGTTTGAGACGGAGTCTTGCTCCGTCGCCCAGGCTGGAGTGCAGTGGCATCTTCTCAGCTCACTGCAACCTCTGCCTCCCAGGTTCAAGCAATTCTGCCTCAGCCTCCTGAGTAGCTGGGATTACAGGTGCGTGCCACCATGCCCAGCTAATTTCTGTATTTTTAGTAGAGAGGGGGTTTCACTGTGTTGGTCAAGCTTGTCTCAAACTCCTGACCTTGTGATTCACCCGCCTCGTCCTCCCAAAGTGCTGGGATTACAGGCATGAGCCACTGCACCCGGCCAAAACCCATATTTTTCTTTCCAGGAGAATATATAACTGACATGTTGCCATTCATCATCTAGTCTTGCTAGACTAGGAGAAAGAGATCTTAAGCTGACTTTCACCTAGGCATATAACCTTTGAAAAGCCAGTTCTCTTGGTCTCAGTTCCATCATTTGTAAAATGAGGAGATTGGACTAAGTCAATCTTTCCCTAGACATGTTCCACTGGACCCATAGGATACTCAATGGAAAAGTAGATCTGTAGTCACAATTTTAGGGGAAGCTCTGCATACTATTTGTCCTATTGGAGATATAAAACACACATTGGCGTATTCAGGGTTCCGTAGTGAAGAAACCAGACTACCTTTGTTCACGTAAGTGTTTTCTCAAACATTTTTGGTATCAGGATTATTTTCCCATAACACTTACTGATATCACATGGGACCCATATTATAAATAACATAGTTTAGGAAATGCTATACTGGGTGCTCTTTAAAGTCTCTTTTTGCTTCAATAGTCCCTGGAGCTAGGATTAATTCTTCTGGCTACAGAGTTAACTTTTTTCAGTGCTCTTACAGACTTCCCTTCCCAAAAACTGTTGCCTTTCATTTCTTAGTAATGTGATACTCTGCCAATGTAATTTGCTGACTTTTCAGACTGGAGATACGGTGGCCAATTAAGTAAGTTGCAAATTCTCCTAAAGGAATTAAAACGACACAGTGATCACCAGTCTTTGGATGACAATTATAATTACGGTCTTGAAGTAAAACAGGGGCAAATGCAGGCACTTTTTAAGGTTACTACTGGTTTTTATAATCCAAAGATTTCTTCCCACATGCCAAAATAGAGGATATGATTCCTTCTCAGCATTACTACCGTCTGGACAGTATCAATTGAATATGTTTAATAAAGTAAACAGTGTTTAGAAAATGTTAAATACAAGGTAACCTTATCCATCCAGACTGCCTGTTTAAAATTCCAAGTTATCTTACCAACTACATAAAAAGAGAAAGTGTTTATCCTACTGAGATAATGGTAAGGCAAGTCTGTCTTTCCAGTAATGGAGCTGTTTGAAATCTCTGACCTGGGTACAAGTCCTAAGGTAGTTCATTGTATTACTTGCTTTTACAGATGCATATATCTTTTCTTGGTTCCAGCTATTTCAGATGTAACAAACCATATTACATGTACAACTACTCAATGATCAACCCTCTCAGCAGCTAAAATCCCTCAAATTTAATAGGATACAAGAATTTTCTCTAGTAATTATTAGAATAAATGTTAATAAACTTATTTTCGTAAAAATAAAATTTCTCCAATAAATCTCTGGCATTTCTAATTCCATTTAGGTGTCTGCTTCCCAGAAGACCAAACTGATACAATTATCCTTATAAGATTGTTCCAAAAATTGGAAATAATAACGTAGTTCCTGGCTTTTGATAGCTAGACAACAAAGATTATCTTCCTTCAACTGTGAAACATTAAAAGGTCAGGGCTGGGCAATACATTCTCCTGCATTGTTCAGTGCTTTAATCATACATTCCACTGTATAATTGGGCTTCATTAGCAGGCAGCGTGAAGTTAAACTTCTTAACATGCCATGCTCCAAGCTATCAAATTATCTTCGGGGTAGGTAACCAGGTACATTTGTGTATGGGTGGATGGGTTACAGAGTAGGAAATTGTCTTTGGAGCCAGATAGATCTAGAATAGATTGAATCCTAATTTGCTATGTCACCTTAGGGAAATCATTTAATCTCTGTTTTCAGTTGCCTAAACTATAAAATGGGGATAATATGGCCGATCTCACTAGGTAACTGTGAAGATTAGAGATAGTCTGTGTAAAGCATCTAGCACACTGTCTGGCCCATTGTAAGCATCGAATGAAAGGATGTATTATTACTCTTATTGTCTGACCATCCTTTCATTCATTCACTCATTCCACAAATATATATTATGGGTCTACTATGATAGGGAACTGACATACAACAGTGAGCCAGAGAGGCACAGGTTCTTACAGAGTCTACTGGACCGGACATGACATCACGCAAAATGTATCCAGTAATTATAATAAGAAAACTTAGATGGTGCTTCTTATGTGCCTGGCACTGTTCTAACAGCTTTACCACATATTCATTCACTCAATCCTTACACCAATCCCATGAGACAGGTACTTGCCCAAGATTACATAACGAGTCAGTGTGGATTCAAAACCCAAATATCTGACTCCAGAGTCTGTGCTTTTACAGGTTATGCTGTGTTGCCTCTCTAAACATTTGAATCAGATTTCATGCTTCCATAGAGCTTAAACAATCTTACACAACTATATAAAACAATCTAATGAATCCATTGAGTAAGAAGGACAGTTATTTCCTTTACATAGACACAGAAATAGTAAGTCAGTGGAAAAAGTGGAGAGACTGGCCACTGGGGACCCAGTGCCATGTGATAGCAGTTCCCTCTCCCACCCTAGCCTGCCATTGCTCACCTTCCAACCTAGCAGCTGTTTTCTGGCAATGGCACCAGAAGAAGAGTTGCTATAATTTCGTTTTTCATCTCACTCAGCCCTGACTCTTTCATCTACTATAACCACAGGGCCTCTCTAGTTCCAATCAATTCTTGACCTTCAGTGTTATAATCTTTTATGCCTGCTGGAATTTTCTTGCAGAAAAGTTAAAGGAAGGTAAAATAGGTATGTTTTCTTTTGTTCTCTTCTTAAGCATATCCACATGACTGGAGGCTGAATGCTAAATGGTTTGCTGCATGTTTGCAAAGCAAACAAGGTAGCAGTGAGGAGAGCAGACCCTGGACACTAAGATCATTTCTTATTACAAGGCAAACACCATCCACATCTGGATGCTTGAATACAAGCAACATAACAGCAGCAGTTTGTTCCAAGAAATCTTTTAGATGACAACATACCATCATCACCATCATTTTGGAATGAAAACGACAACATGAAAAAAAAAAAAAAAAAAAAAAACACCCTCTTCTAACAAGTCAAGAATGATGAAGACAAAAAATGATCATACTTACTGGGGGACATTGTGCAAGTTTATCAGCTGCCACCAGTTGAACATTCAAGTGTTTACTTTGTGACTTTCCTCTAGATTTAATCAACCGCTGTAAAACCTGATAGAAGAAGACATGAACCTCAGGTATTGTAGATGAGTTAAAAGAAAATCAAATAAGCCAGGATCTTTTTAATGGTCTGCTTGGCCCCAAGCATTATAAGAGAGGAAAATGCAGTGTGAGAAATCATATGTTTAAACCTGTAATGATGTCATCTGCTTACATTGGCTCTCAGTTCCATGGATTTGATATGTTCATCCTATTCCAACTCTGAGTGAAGTCTCAGTAGGAGCCTGAGTTCCCACCCTAGATTTTCCCCAGAGATTTCAAAGAGAGCCCTGCAAAAATGGAGGGAGTGGACTGTACCAGGTCATTTATGTTAAGTAATACTTTAATATTATTCAGTTGAATAATGTTTTAGCTCACTATCTCCATGTCAGATAAATGTCAGAGTCATTTACATCTTTGGTTATTTTTGTCTCCAATTATTAATGGGACATTTCAGTTTAATTTAAAAATAATCAGACTATTCTGTGATTAGGGATCCAAGCAAAACATTTGTATTAGTATATTGCTACATGTAAACCAGTGATATATCTATGTCTTTTGGCTACCGCTGTTAACTGCATTTGGCCATATACTGCCATCTCCCATGGCCCTTCCCCTGCAAACAGTGTTAATCTATGAGCTCTATAATACCGCAGGACATAGGGTCTGGGAACTCCTGTTCTTGCACTTAAGGACATGACAGTGTCACGGGCAGTGGGAAGGGCTGAACTCTCCTGCACTGCAGTGAAGTGCTGGAATCCCCAGCAGTAATTTCAATTCACTCTACTGATTCTCAAAAGGCCCTAGTTTGCTCAGGATTCCCAAGTCCACTGCACCAAAGCAGTGTCTGCACAGGTAGATGGAAGGATAGGATCTCAGAAAATTTGGAGGAGAGTACAGCTTCTTTAGACATTCTCCGCCCATGAGAGGAGACTGCCATGCTGGTTGGCAGTTGAATTTGTATTTAGGCACCAAAATACACTAGGAGGCACAGAGAAGAAACTGATTATTAAGATGGTATTTCCCAAGGGCATCCATTTCACATTAACTTTTTAAGAACAATATCCTGTTTTAAAAATGAAAGAACATCTAAATCAAAGGAAACAAATTTGGGGCTATTTCACTTTTATTTTTATCTCCCACAGTGCCATAAAGATACAAAGCAAATTTCCCATTGTGCTTACCATGGAATAACTACATTCTTTCAAGAACTCAACCTAAGCACAAATCAGGGTCTATAATACTTCCATAGGAGATGTTTAAACAGTGATATTCTATTTTATATATGATCAATATAGATACCTTTTTTGATAAATATAGATGTACTCTCTCAACTAGGTACAGAGTATGGGTGACACAGGAATCAACAGTATCCAAGAAATTTACCAATGTAGAATTCATAGTCTATGATAAGCCAGAGTCTACTTTTCCACATCTGTCTTAATGTTTTGTTTTTATTAAACACTTGCATAACTGTCTGGTTTGGGATCTACAATAGTAGCTTTTAGAAGAAATGAACTATTATATTCTCCACTATCTGAAAATTCATAGAATCTGTACACTGTGGAAAGATTTTAAATGTGCTTATTAATAATCAGCAAGATATTCTCCTTGTCCACTAACAAAAAATCACAGAGCAAAGCACATTTTTAAAAGATGCACTTCTAACCTTTAAGACAGAAGGGAGCTAATTACCTTTGGAGATGAGACTTTTACATGAACAATAATTGGTGCTAAGGAAGTCTTTATAAGTTGTGCTGGGTGATTGATGGTGTCTGCATCAAGAACGACCAGTTGCAAAGATCTTGCCAACTCAAAGATTCTTTCAATTTCACTTTGTACTTCCGCTAAAAGGAAAAATAATAAATAGATCCTGGTTATTGTTATGAATTAGTTCTTACATTAGAAAGATATAGTATATTTTCAGATATGTTGGTCTACATTACAAAATAAAATATTTTAAATTTTCACAGATGGCTCTCAGACTTCTTCTAGTCAACATAATATTTAGCTGTTTATATACCTACGACAATTCTTTTATGTTGTTTTTGATTGTTGTTTTGTTCTAAAAAACTTTAATGTTAGCCATAGAAGCTGAAACCACATTGAGAAAACAACTGAAATATATGTGCAAAGCAACATCACATGGAAAGCAAATTACACTGAAATATTTCTATCAACAAAGTATATACTAATACTTTGTGGACATGCTTAAAAAAAAAAAACCCACAACTCATCTGTTTTGACTGATATGCACATTTTTGTACCACTGGTTAACTGCTCTGAATCTATCCTTAAAGCTAATCATATTACTAAGTCTAGTTAGATTTAAGTATGAGAGCCAGTGTACTTGCTCTAAGGCATAATTAGCTTCAGTATTAAGAACAAAAAGTAAGGCCAATTATATTAAAATGCTGCAATGCATCTAGATGCAAATCTCTCTGGCTGGCTGTAATAGGCAAGTGACCCAAATCTGTGCATGAGTCTAGTCAAATGAAAAACCTACTCTTTTCAAATGTCTGAAGCAATCCAGTTTTTTTTTTTTTTTTTTTTTAAGGAAAACAGATAATCAATATAGGACATGGCTTTCTGAAATATAAAAAAAAAATTTTATATATAGTTTATAAATTACCTGACTTATTGGATCATGCCCAAAGTCTGAATTATACTTGATTTTCAGAGAAATTAATTTGTTTTCATTTTTGAGATACGGTTTTACTCTGTTGCCTAGGCTGGAGTGCAGTGGCATGATCTTGGCTCACTGTAACCTCTACCTCCCAATTCATGTGATTCTTATACCTCAGCCTCCCACATAACTGGGATTATAGGCACACGCCACCATGCCCAGCTAACTTTTGCATTATTAGTAGAGGCGAGGTTTAGCCATATTGGCCAGGCTGGTCTTGAACTCTTGAACTCCTGATCTCAAGTGATGCACCCACCTTGGTCTCCCAAAGTGCTGGGACTACAGGCATGAGCCACTGTGCCCAGCTGATTTTGTTTTTTTATTTTTATTTTTTGGCTATAGATTTGACCAAACAATGCTGTAATCTGGTCCAAAGTACATAGAGTACACAAAACTATCTAATATAAATTATTATTATTAATTTTTAGAGACAGGGTCTCACTCTGTGGCCCATGCTGGAGTGCAGTGGTACAGTCAAGGCTCACTGCAGCCTCAACTTTCTGGGCTCAAGTGATCCTCCCACCTCAGCTTGAAGAGTAGCTGGGACTACAGGTGGACATCACTGTGCCTGGCTAAATTTTTTATTTTTTGTAGAGACAGGGTCTCACTAAGTTTCCCAGGTTGGCCTTGAACTCTGAAGTCCAAGCAATCCTCCTGCCTTGGCTTCCTGAAGTGTTGGCATCACAGGTGTAAGCCACTGTACCCGGCCTTAGATGATCCTAAAGATGGCCTAGGGAAAAGGTAGTGTTGCTGTAACTACCCTCACTGAAAAGTGTTTGTGATTTGCTTTGCTTATTTAGTGTAAATTCAAGCTCACATTGCCCACCGAAAAATTCTCCCTTCCTTAACCAAAAGGATTGACAAGGTATGCAGGGTCAGGAATCCTCAAGACTATTATGAAAATCTATTTTCTCATGTTTTGCCTGATTGCATAAAATTCTTATTTCCCATAGAATCACTGAAGTTTAAGGCATGATCTGTATTAAAAAGGATGCATTTGAAGAGTCAACATATCACTTTTCAAGTTATCTAATACCAATGGCCTGAAAGACTTCACATTGCTTGGAAAGGGGACTAGCTTTCAGGATATTAATGAAAACAAAGTGGGCTTATTTGTCAAATTCTTCTGAAATCATATTCTACATTTGTTAGTAATGTAACATATTTGTCCCCTTTTTTCTCACACGTCAGAAAGTTTTAAAAGAAATGTTTCTTCAGAAGGAAGTTTGGAAAATAAAGTCAATTTTTACTGTAGTAAATTTCAGCCTCAGGATGTCAGGGTATGTTTTCCATTTGCTGTTTTCATTAAACTGTCACTGGCTTATGGGAGCTCCTGGCTAGGACTATATGTGAGCAAGCCTATGTTTTCTTAAGCCTCAAATATGAATACAATATTTTCGGAAGCAGCAAAAAGACATTGACGCGAACTGGACTGCCCTGGTACAAATAACCCTCAAGGCACTCTGAGTTTCTGTGTAAGTGACTCAGAAATACCTGAACCTTATTTACTCTGCACCAGCGGTGAGGTTAAGTGTGGTTTCTGCCAGGAGCAAGGGCAGCGATACCTACTGCTTAACCAACACAAAACTCTTAGGCCATGGGCACTTGGGCAGAAGAAGAGAGGTGCTTGGGCAGAACAAGCCAGGAGGGATGCTGGAGAAGGCCACATTAAATACTAGGGTGAGCCCAATGTTTGGATAATACATATACAGAATGTAAATAAATACATTTTATCTGTGAGGCACATTTATCTATATAGCCATCTCTCTCTCTTTTTTTTTTTTTTTGAAAAAGATCTCAGCCAAACCAAACAATGTTGGCTACCTGGACTGATTCTCAGAGGGGTTCCAATGAAGGTTTCCTCATAATCCTATTCTAGTCAAATGGAGCCCTGGGGAGTCATGGACTATGATGCTAGAGGACCTCGATGAACACTTCTATAAACTGATCATGACTGATTTGGGCCCACCTCTCTCCAGGATCTCTGTCACAAATGATATTCCTTATACCCAAACCTGTTCATATTTCTCCCATGCTTAAAACACTTCAGTGGCTCCCCAGGCCCAAAGCAACATTTCCCAAAGTGAGTACTCTGGAACAATACTCTCATAAGATATCCTATGGGAAGAAGGGGGTTTTGTGCAAGGGATATATTGCATACCATACTAGCTTCTCTTTAGAATTTCAAACATGCATTACCCTTTACATCTTCAAGGCTCTTAAGAGTCTTGCAGAGAAGAAACCTGTCAGTTTAATCCATCATTTCCAAATTTATTTGACAATGGAAAACATTCTGAATGTAACAACTATTACTATGTTGTAAAATTAACATTGCATGGGATCTATTTTGGAGATCTCTTTAGCAAGGCACATTAGAACCCCAACACATTGGCCTCGGTCTTTTTCAGTCTCTTCTGTTCCTCTCAAATCACACCCCCAACTTCCCTGTTCTAAGCATGCTATACACAAATCTACTTCTTTCTCAACAATACATTTTTGTTTACATGTCAATGTCTTTGTACACTCCTGCCTTGAAGAACCAGCTCAAATATAACTCCTGAGAAGTCTTCTCACACATCTCCTACCCCCTACTCTTCTTTATACCCCTAGCTCTTTGTTCATAATTCCACTGTCACAGGTATTCTAACCATCTGTCCCTTCTGTCTCTTTGCCCACAGGTAAGACACTGTGTGTGGGATATGTCTGTATTTCCTAAGTCTAGTGTAATGCATGGCACATAACAAGTGTTCAATAAACATTTGATGAAGCAATCTACAAATGTGCATGAATAAGCACACAAATGGATCACATTGTGGTTATTATATTAACAGATTGCCATGAAATTAACTCCAATGGTTGTGGGTATATGACTTTAAAGAGTAAAGGTAAAAACCACGAGCTGAGATATACTTTGTTTCTTCTTGTTTACTCTAACTTGCCCCCCATCCACCCCACTGACTCTGACAGCGGGTGACTGGATTGTAAGGATGACTTCAGTGAATACGGGTGAAGCCCTTGGCAGGTGTCAGTGGTTAAAGGAGTCAGACAACCTGGCTTAAGCTTTTAATTATCTTTTAGCCTCTCACCATACGTTAGAAGAAGGAGTAGTTAAAAGCCAAAGACACTATAAGGAGTTACAAAATGGGTAGAAAACAGGAGAGCAGAGAATTGATGTTTATCTGAGAAATCCTCAACCTAACTTAATGTCCTTGTCACCCATGATATTTAACTTTAGTCATTACCTAATAGGATTCACCATCAACATTGCCATTGTACCTCCTCCAGGTCACAATACTGTGCCTTTGAGCATGCTTCCCTCTGCATGTGGAAGGCTCTAAATACAAGACTAAAGAAGGGACCACTAATCGCTGGGATCTTTCCCTCACAAGCACTGACCACTACTCTATTTGGTATGTTTCGTATTCCTTCACAAAGCAACCATCCAACAAACATTTATTAGCAATGATCATGTGCCAATCCCATGTCAGGAATACGCAGATAATACTTTGTACCTTCTTTACAAATTGTACAATCTTTGGCTCAAGGTCAGTGGGTTCTTAGTGTGATGTTAGGGCATGCACTCTGTCTTGGAAATCTTAATTTTGTTTAGTTTTCTATCATCTATAGAGCTAATTTCAACAGTTTAAAAAATGTAAGGCATGGAAGAGCCCTATTTATCCTTCCTAGTTAAAACAAGTTGCCCTCAGAATATGAATGTAAAGAGAATCCTAGGAAGTCATGAGCGGACTACACCACCCTTGGCAATTGTGGAGACCATGAACAGGCTTTCCTGATGAACAATGTAATTCACCAGCCTATGGACTTGCTTCTGTGGGTGGTGATTCCATCCTCCACAGCCCTGTTCACCTATGGCTTGATGGAGCTACTCACTTACAGTCTTTTATTCTTCTCCATCATGGGGAATTTTAGGATGCTTTCCGACTGGTACCCCAGGAAAGACATGTTTAAAGTCCCTGCATGTTACTAATGGTCATTGCCATTTGCAACACCAAGAACACTGTTATCTAGCTTTTCTTCTAAAGATCTCAGAAGGCTGAACACCTCATTTCCTTTCACGTCCGCTGTGACTCAGGTATGACAGATATCATTAGCCCCGTTGAGAAGCTGAGCAAAGTGGAGATGAGTGGTTTCACGTGGTTAGGCAGGCAAAGACTACGAGAGCCCATTGAGGATTCTTCCCACCAGACTAATTAGCTAACTGACTAAAGCTGAGAGACAGCAGGCTCTGGCTACTGCAAGACTCTGCTGCCTTCCTGCCATAGCTAGCATTCTCTTCAGGTACTCAGTGCTCCCGCCATTCAGAATGGGGAACAAATTGACAAAGACATTCACAAATGCACCATCTGTCAGCCCGGTCTGTAAGCACAGCTTGAAGAAGTACCACATTTGAACATCTTACCTAAGCTGGACCGGGTGTTCGAACGTTCAATTATTGCTCTCTTGCTGGGATTATTTAGGACAGACCTCTTAGCAAGAGAAATGTCAGCTGTCACTCTCGTTATTGATATCCTATGAATAGGAACACAGAACAGAACAAGCCAGTAAAAATGTTATGGGGCTCTCCAAGTGATTTAGAACCACAGTACTTAATAACCAATTTATATACTACAGGGGAACCGCAGTATAATAAACATTGGCCACAAGTGTTTTAAACAGGCTCTGGCTAGTATCAGAATGCAAGCAGAGCAGAATGGAGGAAGGTTTAAACTGTTTCACACACACACACAAAACCTACTCCATTAAAAATATTTTCGTCCATTATGGCCTGCCTTGCTGAATTCCCTTTATAATACACACCATACCAGGAAGGAACCGAAACATATAAATAAACCATGCTCTTTCCAGGAAGCAGCAATACAATTTGCCACAATTCATAGTTGATTTGCTCTTGAACAAGACCTTCAGGAACTACAAATGCTTTGCTCTGGGATTTAATGATGCTGGTCAAAGCTGGGAAACACTCTTCATTTTGATTATCAAAGACAATCAACCAGTCTGTGGCTAAGTTGCATTCTTTTGTGATACACACGTGATTCTCCAGGGGCCCGAAGGGATACTTCATTTGTAAACATGTGAAAAAATGGTTTTATTTTTTCTGCATGCATAGGATTCTTCAGCATATTTGCATATGACTTTGAATGCATACGGCGGGCGGGCAGTCATAAGGCACTCTAGTTGAGAGCAATGTGAGTATTGTGCCAGGATTTGCTAAGTCAGAAAGTATCCTGCGGTCATGCAAGAATAAAGCAGGACCTGGCACAGTGGCTCACGCCTGTAATCGCAGCACTTTGGGAGGCTGACGTGGTTGGATCATTTGAGGTCAGGAGTTCGAGACCAGCCTGGCCAACAAGGGGAGACTCTGTCTCTACTAAAATACAAAAACTAGCCTGGTGTGGTGGCACATGCTTGTAGTCCCAGCTACTTGGGAGGCTGAGGTGGGGGAGGTCATTTGAGCCCAGGGGGCAGAGGCTGCAGTGAGCCAAGATCATGCCACTACCAATCCAGTCTGGGAGACAGAGTGAGACCTTGTCTCAAAAAAAAAGTGAAGAAGTAAAGACATTGCAAATAAATGCAGAGGGGCATCTATTTGCATATGATTTATCAAATGAGAACATCTGCAACTTAGAATTTAAAAACTATTTTAAACTGAGACTGCTCAATTTCCAATCATCTACCAGTAGAATTCAAAGTTTGCCTCTTTAAACCAGTTACTGTCACCATGGGCCTTTCTCCATTCTTATCTTCACAGCTTGGTTCCCAGAAAGGAGACAAGGAAAGTAGCACCCCTCCCCTTTTATACTCAGTACACCCATTCTCTTCTGTTTTCAAACTCTTTGGGGATTGAAGAAGGAAGGAGGGTAGAATTATCAACAATTACTGAATCATATGTCATCTCATACCTGTCTGGGGACAACACTGTCAGGAGACTGTACCTGATTTCAGTGACCTAAAGCCTTGGGGAGAATTAAAAATAGTCCTTTCCTCAGATGTCTGGAAATCATTCTTTAAAACAACAGTCTGTGCAAAAGTTCTGGTGCCATTTTAAGCAAAGTACTGCTTGCCTGTGTCATTATGTTTATATGCTGTACGTTGTCAGGAAGTTTTCAATTCTTAATTTTTTAGAACTGTTAGACCCTAATAATTATTTGATGCATCTTCAAAATTGTCCCCCGCAGAAACCAAGAGTTTTTGCAGATACACCTCAGGGACTGTTCTGAGGACTAAAGGGAGGTTCAGTGGGCTCCAGCTTCACCATCCTCAGTGCCAGGTAAACACGCCTGCATTTCTGTTTTCTGCATTGGGGCTTTATATATGATTTCACTATAAAAAGCTGTTCAACTGCTAGAAAACACTGGTGTAACAACTTTTTCATTTTACCAAGAGGGAAACTGAGACACACACAGAAAGCTACACATGGTTAGTTACAGCTCAGGTCTAAACCAGCCCCTGGGCATCGGGTCAGTGCCAAGTCACCTGACTCCACCATTCTCTTATAGTTCAGTGTTCTACAAGCCCGAATCTCCAGATGTGAGTCAAGTGGTCAAGCACGGATGCACAGTCAGTCTTGGCCTTGCTCTGAGATAGTAAGAATTTAAATCAAGTTGAGGTAGAGTAAACCCCCACCTGACTTTCCATTACTCCAGTTGGCCACTGCAGCTTTCAGGCATGAAGTCTCATAGGCAGCTCCTTTCCTTTCCAGAGTAGGGTTTGTGTGGTTTTATTTTTTTAATTTAATTTTCAGTTTTTGGTCAGTGTTGCTCTGTCACCCAGGCTGGAGGGCAGTGGTACAATCTTAGCTCACTGCAACCTCCACCTCCCACGTTCAAGCAATCCTCCTGCCTCAGCCTCCCAAGTAGCTGGGATTACAAGCATGTGCCACCATGCCCGGTTAATTTTTGTATTTTTACTAGAGACGAGGTTTCACCACATTGGCCAGGCTGGTCTCAAACTCCTGACCTCAGGTGATCTACCCACCTCAGCCTTCCAAAGTGCTGGGATTACAGGCGTGAGCCACCATGCCCGGCCATGTGTGTTTATTTTTGTGTTTTTGGGTTGCTGGTTTATTTGTTTTAAGAATGGAGCTGCTGGATAGAAACGTACAGGCATGTTTCAGAGCAATCCAAATATATGATGAGAGACAAATGGGTAGGTTTAGGGACAGAATTCAACTTTCTAGACTAATGATTTTTGGAGGACCCAACAACCCAGAAAGTTGAATTCTATTCAGCTTAAGTGAAAATCAAATTTTCTAGTTCTATACAGACAAGAGACTCTTGGTTCTTCGAATCTGAAGAGATTAGCATCAGATCCACATTTACTTTTTCTGAGTCACAAAAGTACTTTTACAAAGCTATTTTCAAACACAGCCAAAGTTTGAAAAAATTCAGGAAAAAACTGCTTCATAAGTTCCAAAATAGAGGGAAAGATGCAGACAATAAAGGGTATATTTTCTCATTTTATTTGCTAATGCAAGTTAGTTTGCTAATACAAGTTATTTATTAATCAAAATACACATGCATAAAACAGAGCTCCGAAGAAGACAGGCCTAGCCCTAGAAAACCTTCAGTAAGACAAAATAGGAGTTTCTCTTTTCTATGCAAAGATGCTGACTATTATCAAAATCAGACACCAAACCCAAAATTCTTTTTTGTAAAAGGCTCTCCAGAAAAGCAATCACATTCACAACTGAATACTATCTAGCTTATATACTATTTTTAACTTAAAGTAGTATCCTTTCTACTTCTTTTCTTGCTATCCTGAGACCCCCTAGTCTCAGCATTCCTATGTACCTTGTTCAATAAACATCTCTAAAAAGTTCCCTTGGAAAACTTCCTGTGACTTGCTGTTAGTAGTTACTGGCCAGTAGGTAAAAGACTAATAGGAGTTTAGTTCCCCAGCAGACTGGATGTAGCAACAAATGTTCCTGAAAACTAGCAAACATCATTTCCTAAATAGAGTAAATCTGAACCCCCATTGTTGCTTATTTCCACTTTAGAATTCATCCTAACTGCTGCAATCCCTCATGAGCTGTATTAGTTTTCTGTGATTTTCTGTGGAAAGATATTGTTTTCAGTTATAACACATTCATTAAAAAATAATCTGCATTTCCACGCTGGTAACATAACAGCTGTAAGATCTGTCTGTATTCTATCCTTGCTACATCCAATATGCAGCCCAGACAGTATAATAATTTTGGAAAACTTCTAGTATTAGTAGGGAAAAGTGTTCCAAAGAATGGAACAGTGCACTTACAGGAGAATTGAAACACACAGGAAGACCTGAGTATCTTCCTGGATCTTTCTCCTGGTAGTTGCATGAGTCATTCTATCTTTTGACCTCAGTATCCTAATCAATAAAATGGTAATAGTAGCTTTGCCATAACTATCTCATGGGATTGCCACTAAGAGCAAATAAGGTTATATATAAAAGTGCATTCTTAAATAATTATTCATAGTGTCCTCTGTTAATAAAAACATATATAATGTACACAAGGCAAACAATTATTAGAGATTTAAAGACTTGAAGGAGATAGTTTCCTTATATCCTACTCTCAAAAGTGGGCAGTCTACCATGAACTCTCTCATTCCCAGAGTCTGTGAAATGTGGGTGAGAGAATCAGGTCAGATATGTTGTATTCAAACTACTAATTTAAATATTCAAGTTTGACACTGAAGTGTTCAATTAATTATTACTGGTGTTTGAGTGGCTGTTTATGAGTCTGCATTTGAATAGAGAACAGTAGGAAGAATGCATAGAAGAATGAAATTGATTATGAAACAGAAGTTGTGGCTGTTCTTTTACCATTTGTTGACTGCAATTAGAAATTATCTTCATTCTTATACGGCTTGGTTGCCTTGTGATAGCACCAATTATTCCCATTTCCTTTTATTAATAAGTACTATCTCTTTGAGTCTCCCTAAGTTGTATGTTTAGCTTCTTTTCTTTCAAATTCTTTCTCAAGCCTATTTTTCCCTTTATGTGTTCTTTGGCTAAAAGCATCCTTTAGCTTGAGATCTTATCTGTGTAGATTACATGATGTTCATCTAAGATTTTTGGCCATGATCATTATCAGTTACAAATTGTCCAATAAATGTCATAGAGTTGATCTGATCCAGTTGTCAAAAGCCTAAAGTAACAACTTTTGGGAGGATTTGAAATGACTGGCATAGGTCAACAAACTGCAACTGGTTTGACTGCTGGCTGTTCAGCCTGTGAATGGTAGATTCAGCCAGCTGAACAAACCTCATCCAAACGGGTAATCCCCAATGAATATTTGTGGTGTGAAATGAAGAGAGAAGCTCCATGCCCATTGTGTATCCACGGTGTCCTCGTCAGCACAGGAATCACTGCTCCATGTGGATATTCACAAATACAGAGGGCACTCAGGAACTATTTAGTGTCGTGTTTTTCTTTTTCTTTATGAGACAGAGTTTCGCTCCTGTTGCCCAGGCTGGAGTGCAATAGCACGATCTCGGCTCACCGTGTAACCTCCGCCTCCCAGGTTCAAGCGATTTTCCTGCCTCAGCCTCTTGAGTAGCTGGAATTACAGGCATACGCCACCACGCCCGGCTAATTTTGTATTTTTAGTAGAGAAGGGGTTTCTCCATGTTGGTCAGGCTGGTCTCGAACTCCCGACCTCAGTTGATCTGCCCACCTCGGCCCCGCACAGTGCTGGAATTACAGGCATGAGCCACTGCGCCCGGCCTAGTATTCTGTTTTTCTTACATGTATCACAGTTAGGCCCCACAATAGCAGCTATAGCAATAAAATTGTATAATAAGTAGCTCTAAACTGACTCAAATAATTTCTAAGGTATCAAAAAAAATCCCAAGTTTATGATTCTGCAATAGTCAAACAGTTGGACTTTCATCCAATTTGTTGAATTATTTTCTACTAAGATCTGAAAAGCAGATGAAAGAAGAAAGCCTCATAGCCAACAGATCCCTTCTTTGCACTTTCCGAAAAATAATAGGACTTTCTCCTATTTTGTCTAACGCACTGCATTCATAGCCCATGAAACACAGAGTAGGTTTCCATTAGAACGTATTGTTTATGCCGTGTCACTGTGCTAAAACCTTCCTTGTCATTGTTCTCTTGGCTGGTTTCAATTAAAGACTATTTGTTTTTTTCTCTCTTTGTATCAATTGGTAAAACATAATGCAGCACAATGTTATAGCTCAAAACCTAACAATATTCCCACGAAGAAGACATGTCAGAGTCAGTGTGACGCTACCAGCGAATTTCTTCTTTCTTATCAAAGTCTCCACATACACTCAATCAAGGAACTCATTATTGTTCATCCTGCTGCCTGGCCTCTTAATATTTGAAATCAAGTCCATCTTTAATATTTACCTGTCTTTTTCCTCAGCCCTGCTGGAGAAATACATCAGATTTCTCCAGGGCTAAGTCTCTCTCTTCAGCTATTACTTTCGCTGCTGCTGGGCTCTTCCTCTAGACCCTCTGCCATGTCATCAGATCCCATGAATACTTGAGATTGAAATTTGCATTCAATTTCTATTAAAACCAACTTCAACAGTATGCGTACAGTAATGGATGCAGACAATTCTACTTGATTCAGGACAAATCTCTGCTGTTACAATTAAATAAATTGCCTTCTTCTGGGCCTCAGGATTGAGGAAGAACATCAGATTCTTCATTCTTGAAGGCAAACCTTTAACAACGCTGTCGTGTATCAGTATGTTATAGACCAAAATAATCTAATGCAAACGTAGGCTGTCTTATGGGAAGGGATTTGCTCAGATAGGGCTGTTATGGGGCCAGTGGATTCGGCACTGCTCAGAACTGCCTTAGGTAACAGCTCCACAGGTTAAAACCATGTGACTCCATACATATCTGAAGGAACCGTACATGTGCACCCAAGAACACAGAAGACTGGGCTAGGCATGCTGGCTGCCTTCAATCCACAGGGACCTGCATGAGGGTTAGGGTTAAGGCCAGAGCATCAGACAGCAGGACCAAGACCAACCCTATTAAGTTACAAAGTCAAAGTTCAGCTGTTTCTTTGCAATGCTTTTTAGAAAGTGAATTCCCAATAGCCAAAAATTTCAAATGGAAGCAGGTTATCTATCTGATTGTGGTTGTTGGAGAAGGGAGATTAGTCTAAAAGACATTTTATGTATCCTTCCAACTCCAATGCTCTAGGATTCAGGGCTTTTAACTTATTTTATTTGAAACTACTTCATTATCTGCCTATTTCCTTTTTAAAGAGAGTGAAATGGAATAAATACATCTTTCTTATTAAGCCCTTGTCCAGTAGATGAATGTGACGAAGGCTATTACTGGTTCAACAAATTCTATCTTCTCTTCCTCCTGGACTGCAAGAGTGCCTCCGCTGCAATAAGTATGACTACATAACCAAGTTCTAACCAGTGAAATGTGAGTAATAACGTGCTCTATCTCCAGGCCCGGCAAGCTGACTAGAGACATCATACCTGGGCTAAGGGCCCCAAATGACAGAGGGAACAAACTTTCTGCCCAATTCTCCCCTCCCCCAACTCCATCCTCCCTCCCAGCTAAGGAACACCTGCCTCAGACTGTTAAGTGAGCAATAATAAGTTTCCATTGTGTTTGAATCACTACACATTTTGGGGTCTATTTATTAAGGCAGCCTGACCTACATACTAATGTACCTAGAAGTATTCTTATTTCTTAAACTAAAATCTCAGTTTACTTTCTTTCTATATAGTTCTAGAAACTAATGAATATTTTACCCAATTATCCAGAAAGCTTTTAACAAATGCATACAATTTATATTTAAAGCAATACCATGTTTGTTTTTATTATTAATGTACCAATTTATTACACTTTATCTGAAGTTTTTTTTACATTTTAAAATTATTTTGTGCATTTAGCGCATTCTCATAATTTAGCAAAGAGAAAGTGAGTGGCTTAATTACTGTTTTCAAAAATAAAGAATGTGATGTTCTTCCGCTATCCTACAGTAATAAATTGGATGCATTTGCCCATACTTTTTGATGCACACTATTTAAATTTTCCACATTTCTGATAAATCTTCAGGTTTTTTCATGTGGTTATTTTTACATGGACTGTATTCTGCATATGAAAGAGCTTAATATTTAGAATTGAGTCATTACAGGCTTTTTACCATTTCTCTGCAAAACAGAGAAACTTTCTCTAGACATTTTTCACAAAACTTAAATGATAAAATTATTTAATGGCTAATGTCTGAGCCATATTGTTGATGGATCATAGTAAGATACATTAAAAAATAGATCAATAAAATAACAGGAAATTTCTAATAAAAGCAAACCCTCAACTATAATAAATATCCATATAAGTACTATTCCCTACAAAATGATCACTTTGGGAGGCTTATGATTAAAAGAATTCTCACTCACTTCGTTTGAGAAAATTCAGTACTTGATATTTATACTTTCATATGACACACATACACATACACACACACACTGCTATACACACACACTGCTATTTATACTTTCATATGACACACACACACACACTGCTATACACACACACTGCTATTTATACTTTCATATACACACACACACACACCAAATACTCCTAGCTTGACCAGCAAGCCACTATACTCATCAGAAATATTATATATTTTAATTAATTTTTTAATAAAAACCATTTGGTATCAAATTATTAATAACTGAGAAAATAAAGACATATACATTTAAATAAAACAGATGGCTTAGTTTTCTTCTCCTGGTCCTTTCTTCATTGGGGACTCAATGTTATACTTCATATTTTCAGAGTTCTTTTATTATATTCTTCCCAAGAATACTGAGTTAACTTTTAACTAGAGAACTTCTGAAATCTCTGGAAACATACATCTACAATTCAATTTATCATACAAGTTTGGTTAAAGAAAAATAAAAATACAAAAAACATCTATATTTCTCACCTCCCATCAAACCTGTGCTTCAGGAAATCAAAGAGGGCTTTCTGCATCATGTCTGTTACCTTTGCAGAGGTGAGAAAAAAAGAATGAGGCAAACACATGCAGAGAGAGAGAGAGAGAAGTCAAAAGTGAGAGAGGAGGGAGGGAAGGGCACTATGAGCCAAGACCTTATTGCAGCCAGTCGTCTCCTGGGGGGAAGTTACCATGGAAGATGTTTTTCATGCTTAACCATGTGCAATTGCTAATTTCCACCCCCCTTGGTTCTCCTCCAGGGTGTTGAGGAACAAACCAGCAGTGTTCACCGGACCCTCTTCCCTCTTCCCTCTTCCCTCGTTAGGGGATAGAACTGCTGCCAGGAGACAACAGGCTGGCTTTGTACACAGGTGCCGGGCATCCTTGGCACGCCTGAGCTGTGCCTGCCTCCAGTGAGGAGCAGCTAGAGAATTGAGGCCAGCACTGGACTCAGCCTTCCTGCTAGTTTGTGCGTGTTGGAGGAAATTCTCCATGCCCATGGCTGGATTTTTGTAGACCACTCCTCCTGCTCATCCCTCTGACATTTCCAACTCAGAGAAAGACAAGAGAGAAAGAGAGGGGGAGAGAGCAAGGATTCTTAGATCTGCCTGAAAGAGATTCATTAATTCATTCAGCAAATGTGTACTGAGTGCCTACTATGTGCCACACATTGTCCTAGCTCGATGGGAATGGTGTCCTGGAGGCTGCTCACCTTCAGAGTTTAAATGTCATATCTACCTATTTTTTAATCCATGCTAGCACAAAGTCAAAACAAACATCTGAAACAAAGTCTCTACTCTTTTCCTTGTCACATGGTTTTGTTTAATCTCCAAAGTTTAAAAATGTGCCCTTTAAAATAAACAAGCAGAGAAGGATTTGGTGGCATATGCCATCATCTTAAAACCCCAGCAGGGTGAACTCTGTTTGGGCTTTAAAAGTTTGGGTTTGCTGGAAGATTGATTGTTTGTCCTCTTGTGCTGTTCATTGTCTATTACTTCTAATAATGAGAATGGTCAAGACAGATAAAGTCCTTTTCTTTGCATTTAATGCACAGCAAATCTTTGACCAGATCTTCCCATTGTAAATATTCTGAGAGAGGTATTTCTAAACAATGTAATACATAAAAGATGAGAAGTGTCCAAGAGAGGAAAGAAAGGGCAAAGGGCCTTGTGAGCCCCACACAGTACCCCCTGCCTTCCCATGCTGAGCACTGGCTTCCATCAGGACCCACGTGGAAACAGACCCTTGAGGAGCAAGCGGCAACACGACCGTCTCCTGGGCGCTCGATCAAGAACTGAAGAGTAACAGATGATATTTGTACCTCATAACCTTTCAGTGACGGCCCCACTAACACCACCGGACGCATTGATGGCACAACATCGTAAGGAGGAATGTGCTCCGTCTGAAAAAGAGGATTCGACACGTGTGACAAGGTGAGGTTGAGCATGCCTCTCCACAGTCACAACATTCATAATGCTCAGGTCAAACGACAAATGATTATCAAAGTCCCCAGCGAGGAGGCTCTTCCCTTATTTCACAGCCACTTTGGGTCACTGAAATGGAGCACTGCAGGCATGTACGTATAGGAACCTTAACAGTAGATTTAAAAAGGAAACACAACTTACCACTTTTTGCTTCTGTTTTGCTAAAAGACAATAACGAGAGCCATATCAAAATATGTAATCTCTGCAAATGACAGTACATGAGTTTAAAAGATGGAAGAATGTGCCCATTTGCCCCTATAATTATCTTCACCACTTTCCTATCACCCACTTTGGAGAACCTGCTTTATGATTTCATTCTGGACATGTCAATGTTGAAGACGTATGAAAAACAGACAGCTCCTTCCCTGGTACAAACGACCTTATATCCTGATTTCTCACTGGGTGGGAGTTGGGTACAGGAGTTGAGAACAACATTGGAAGTTCCAGGCCGGCCTTCACCATGGGTTGTTCCCGTGCTGGACACAGCACAGTGTTGCTGGGAACAAGTTGGACAAATGCAATTTCATAAAAGGAAACAGAATAACCACTTGGGCAAAAATGACTAGCATCTCAATCACTAGTTATGTTTATATTTGTAACTCATAATTCTGCACTCCCTCGGGCATTTTTGCCCATTTTCTAGAATATTGGCACATTTTTCCTACTATCTTGCTTTTCAATTTCAAATAAATTTATAACCAGTTATTCCTCAGATAAATTTATAACCAGTTTTTCCTGTTCTTTCCTGTTTGTAATAGCTAAAGTCTGCAATGTCCTGAATGTCCAATAAATGGGAACAAAGCAAAATATACTCAATAACTGATTCAAAGCAATTCTGTGGACATCCAAGCAGGTCCAGTCTAGTTGCGCACAGCTCAGCAACCTGGTTTGATTCAGTGTCCTGTAGATCAGAGGGCTTCACATGAACAAGGACCCAAACACTTAGAACCATTCCAGAACCAATCCAGTTGCCTCCAGTTTTGGTAGGCCAGAATAGGGCCTTGGACTTGCCTTTCCAAATTGATAATACAATTGGAATTCGTAATTAGGGCACTGGATGCCCTAATGCAACAGTTCTAGGCCAGAATGAAATTAGCCTATAGGAGTCAGGGAATGTGGTAGAAGAAAAATTCCTACATGAAGACCTCCATAGTTTCCAAATGCACCACAACTCCCAATTAGGCCACCATTGTCTCTTCATTACCATGAATTCCAGGGCTTGGCTGTCTGCTGTCCAAATGGAAATGAGGCTGTCCCTCATTTGGGCCCTGCCTGACTCTCTGCTTCAACCCTCCCAGCTCAGGCTGTACCAATACATCCTGAAGTTCCACATGGAGACTGAAAACAGGACATTTTCTTGAGAGTCTGCTTCACTTTGTTTCCCTTTTTTATTTTTACTCACCATCTTAAAGTCTGTCCGTTTCTTAGGTAAAATAATGAATTTTTTGAATATCAGTTTACACAATGGACAGTTATTAACTCGGGGGGGTAAATAAGATTTTTCAAAATTATATTCTAACGATGTGAATTTTTTAGTACCATTTTAAATCAAATCAAATTACCATAGAAAACAAATAAGAAATGAAATATTAATTAGAAAAACCTTTAAATTAAGCCTTCAAATTGTTTCCAAATTAGCAAAAATACTTGCATGTGTGTTCAAATATTTTAAAAAGGAATACAGTCTATGAATAGGAGTTTAACTAAAACCCTCACCTGTTGATGTGGGAGTTGCTCGAAATGTCCCAGATACCATTTCTCCAAGACTTGAAGAAGAATTTCCACTTGATTTCCTAGGATATAGAAAAGGAACTAAAGACTCACTCCCCAGATTCTTTGAAAATAGAACTTGAGAGTACAAAGCTTTCTTTGGCCCTCATCCTATTAAATAATTCAAAACACACCAAATTCTGCTATAAAGAACTTCAAGAATCTGTCCAAATGTTTTCTTTGACCTCATTTCTAAGAGAATGTGGAGAATTAGTTAAGACCTGAAATATTTTGCAAAAGCATCTCTTCTAGTTAGTCAATGCGGAAATCAGGCAAAACTGTCACTGACGGGAATGTTCTTATGAACTGCTTGTTAACCTAACACCAGGCACCAATGTGCCAGTCAGATGTCAAACACAGCTCAAAACAAGCAGTAAGACCCGGAGAAACCATTTCTTCTTACAAGATGATTACATGGGCATCAGAGTTAAGAACTGATTATAGGGAATTGGTCACAGAAAATATTATTTATTTGAATGGAAGATCCTCAACTCTGGTCTCCTCAGGTGTGCTCTGGAAGCTTCCCTGAAGCCCACAGACGCCATCAGGAGCTGCCACCTTCCTACTTCCCCAGCGCCCTTCTCTTTTAGTCCTTAAGAGTATGGTCCCTATAGTCAGAAAAATCTCTCTCTCCTCTTAGCTCTGCCACTTACTAGTTGTGGGACTGTGGCACATCATAATGTCTTTGAGCCTTAGGTTCCCCACCTATAGAAGGAGATGCTACACCTCACATGGTTGGTATAAAGATCAAACAAAATCATGTCTGTGAGCTCTTGGCTTTACTATTTGTGACTGCCACGAGGTAAGTTTTTAGTTTAAAAGTATATATAGTCAGCTGGGGGCGGTGGCTCACAGCTGTAATCCCAGCCCACTTTGGGAGACCAAGGTGGGCGGATCACCTGAGGTGGGCGGATCACCTGAGGTCGGAAGTTCCAGATCAGCCTGGCCAACATGGTGAAACCCCCATCTCTACTAAAAATGCAAAACTGAGCCAGGCATGGTGGCAGGCACCTGTAATGCCAGCTATTCCAGAGGCTGAGGCATGATAATTGCTTGAACCTGGGAGGCGGAGGTTGCGGTGAGGCGATATTGTGCCACTGCACTCCAGCCTGGGTGACACAGCAAGACTCTGTCTCAGGAAAAAAAAAAAAAATTATATACTGTTATGAGAGGCTTAACAATGGGGATATCCTCTGAGGAATGTGTCACTAGGCAATTTCGTTGCTGTGTGAGCACTGTAGAGCGTCTTACACAAACCTAGATGGTACAGCGTACTCCATTGCTCTGGGCTACAAACCTGTATAGGATGTTACTATACTGAACACTGTAGATGACTCTAACACAGTGGTTAGTATTTGTGTATCTAAATCTAGAAAAGATACAATAAAAATACGGTATTATAATCTTATGGGACCACCACCATATGTGTGATCATCTTTGACAAAAATGTTATTTGGCCCATAGCTGTAATAATTAACAATAATAATAAAGCTTTTAAAATGATAATAATTCAGTTGTTGTATACAACAAATATTGATGGTACATCCCTGTTTTAGAAAGTAAAAATGTAACAGTGGCATTGGGGAGACAAAATCCTTTCCCTTATTGAGTCATATACTAGTAGGACATATCAGTACAGGTTGAATATCCCTTATCCAAAATGCTTGGGAGCAGAAATGTTTTGGATTTCCATTGTTTTCAGATTTTGGAAATTCGCACTATATACTTACTAGCTGAACATCCCTAATCCAAATGTCTGAAATCTAAAATGCTCTGATGAGCATCTCCTTCAAGCATCATGTCAGTCCTCAAAAAGTTTTGAATTTTGGAGCATTCTGGAGTTCAGTTTTTCAGATTATGGATGCTCAGCTTGTACCAAACAAGATAAATAGGTAAACATATAATATTTCTGAGAGTAATAAGTGTAACAGAGAAAACTAAGTCAGGGAAAGGATGGGACTTACAGGGAAGGGGAGTGAGTACAATTTTAAATACAGTTGGCAGGAAAGGGGTCACTGAAAGGGTGACATCTAACAAAGATATAAAGCAGATGGAGTGGCCTGGTGAAAGTGTGAAGAGAAAGGTTCTAGTAAGAAAAAACAGCAAATGCAAAGACCCCAAGACAGGAAAACATGCTCCCCATGTGTCTAAAAAGAAGCATGGAAGACAAACAGTTTAGAAAAAAAGGGATGATATGGTTTGGGTCTGTGTCCGCAGGAAATCTCATGTTGAGATGTAATCCCCAGTGTTGGAGTTGGGGCCTGGTGAGAGGTGATTGGACCATGGGGGCAGTCCCTCATGAATGGTTTGGCACCATCTCCTGGTGCTGTTCCTGTGACAGTGAGTGAGTTACAGTGAGATCTGATTGTTTAAAAGTGTGTGGCACCTCCCTGTCTCTTCCTCCTGCTCCAGTCATGTAAGACACCTGCTCCTGCTTTGCCTTCTGCTACCAGTAAAAGCTCCCTAAGACCTCCCCAGAAGCAGATGCTGCCATGCTTCCTGTACAGTCTACAGAACCATGACAATTAAAGCTCTTTTCTTCATACGTTATCCAGTTTTATAGAAGTGTGAGAACAGGCCGGGTGCGGTGGCTCACACCTGTAATCCCAACACTTTGGGAGGCTGAGGCAGGCAAATCACAAGGTCAAGAGTTCGAGACCAGCCTGACCAACATGGTGAAACCCCACCTCTACCAAAAATACAAAAATTAGCCAGGCATGGTGCGCACTGGTAACCCCAGCTACTCAGGAGGCTGAGTCAGGAGAATTGCTTGAACCTGGGAGGCAGAGGTTGAAGTGAGCCAAAATTGCGCCACTGCTCTCCAGCCTAGGTGACAGAGCAAGACTCTGTCTAAGAAAAAAAAAAAAAAAGAAGTATGAGAACAGACTAATACAAGGGACAAGAGGGATTAATATTAATAATAGTATTGGCAAGTTATATGCTAAAAAAGATCGATAATTAAAAGTGGGGTAACTATACTTTTGTGATCTCCTATTACTGTTGGAGCAGTTCTTATTATGACAAAAGTGGGCGCCCAAAGAACACAGGAGTTTTTTGAAATAGAAAAGCATTCAACAGAAAACAGAGGTTGAGGGTCAAGAGAAAGAGCTGCTTCTATTTTAGAGCTTTCAAAAAATTGTAACACATATGAAATCAAGGCTTCAGTGCAGGCTGCGACACGGTACATGCAGACTCAGGATGAATTGGTTTCTCTTCTCTCAAGCTGTGCTTGTGTTCCTGGGGCCTTTAAATACCTGCACTCTGAGATCTACATGGCTACTTGAGTGGTTCACTATAAAGGTTGTTTCACCTGAAGCTGTCTTCACCCAAATACCAGGGGAAAAGAGATGCCACAAAAAGCCTGGGGTGGAGAAGGTACTGTCAGTGCCGGGACCTGCACGTACCATCACATTATGTGCCCGCTTAAGGGAGAGTCTGTAAGTGAACCAAGAGGAGCCATAATGCTTGTTCAGGTCAGCTCCCACTCACTGTGTGGAGAAAGAATGCCCGAAGTGACTCTCCTAGAGGAAAGCCTGGGTTCCAAGGAGGGCTTGCTGAGGCCACAGAAAACAGTCTTTGCCATGGAATTCATATGGTCTCCAGTGGTGTTAGGCTTCAGCATGCACAGAAGGTAGAGAACTATCTGAAACTCTTCTGTGTCAATTTCAGAAACACCTTGCACACAGCAAAGTATCTTCTATTTTGACAGCATACACTCTTGAAAATATCACCCAATTTTCTGACCAAAAAAAAAGTGCATAGAAAAGATGGATACATACCCTCCGTGAAAACGTCCTCTTTTTTGTTCTTGCTGAATCCGTATGTTCTCCAATCTGAGTGGACTTGGAATGAAGCCAATTTCACAGCCCTCTTTCACCAGCCTTCCTATCCACCAATCATTGTTATATTTCTGGAATTCAGAAATAAAATTGCTATCATTAGTAATTCACTTATCTTCACGTTGTTTATGAATCTTAGGGGACAAGAAGAATAAAATGCTATTTATAAGATATGATATTATACTATATTTTATATAAACTATATTTTATATGTATATGTGTATACCATATTTTATATAAATTATATTTTATATGTATGTGTATACTATATTGTATACACCATACTATATACCATATTTATATAAACTATACTCTCATAGTATACTATATTTTATATAAACTATATTATATATGTATATGTGCATATGCCTATATATCTATACTGTTTTATATAAACTATATTGTATATGTATATATGTGTGTATATATACCTGTACTATATTTTATATAAACTATATTGTGTGTGTGTGTGTATGTGTGTGTGTGTGTATATATATCTCTCTATATATCTGAGGTAGATTCATAGACTAAAGCAGGGTTCTGCAAACTTTTTCTGTAAAGGTCCAAGTAGTAAATATTTTAGGCTTTGCCGACCATGTGGTCTCTGTTACAATTAGTTGAATCTGCTGTCCTTGTGTGAAAGCAGCCTCAGGCAAACATCAACAAGTGAGCATGGCTCTGTTTCAATAAAACTTTTCTTTACAAAAAAGGCAGTGGGTCAGACTGGACCTGTGGGCTATAGTTTGTGAACCCCTGGACTAATGTCTGGTCCTAACCTTTGGATTCTTTTGGTCTTTGTCAAGAAGCTCTAACCAATTCTTTCTTTCTTTCTTTCTTTATTTATTTATTATTATTATACTTTAATTTATTTTATTTTATTATTTTATTTTTTTATTTATTATTAACCAATTCTTAAAGAACATATTTCACAAGGATAAATATGCACCAATGTAATTGGGACTCTGGAAGGCAAGACGGATATGTCTGATATGAAATACATTTAATAGTCCATAATTTGTCAAAAGCTTTCAGGTAAAAATTCCACGATACTATTTGTAGTGTAATCTCACTGGGGAAGAGTCATGATCTTTCAAATATAGATTTGCAAATTAATGTCCAACTTACTACTTGAAGAAAAAGATGCCTACTCTTACAAAGTCTGAGCATATTACATATTTGTATGTGAAATTTTGCAAGTAATTTCCAAACGCTCTGAAGCCCAAGGGGAACTCCAGAATTTCCATTTAAGTTAAGTTCCATGACATGTAAACTCAAGACCCAAGTCTATGCAAAGGCTTCAACCAGTGTGGGGTGAGAGTCTGTCAATGTGGGCTTATTTGGTGGATCAGTAAAATTGCATTTCTAACTATACATTTGCTGAATTATAGAGCAGAAAGCAATTTAGTTCAAGCTCCCTGCCTCAAGGAAAGGTTTCTGCTAGGTCACTTCTACAAAATAGGTATCAGCTCTATTGTTTAAACTCTCCGGAGATGATTCTAAAAACTTCCTTTACTGTTTTTATCAGTGTTGGGCAAGACAATTCTCTCCTACTTTGACCCAAAACATATATATTTATAAACACATATATTTTTTTCAAAATGTAACAATGATATGTAGTTTGTTTTGCTGAGCTCATGGAAAAGTGAAATATATATATGTGTGTGTGTATATGTGTGATTCTGATACATTATGAAGGAGGAATGGAAGGTTTCATTGAATTATCATAGCATGAAGTTCTGGGTAAACTTTAAGTTATTCTGAGTAACAGCTTTACACTCATGAGAAATGTGGTCTGGTAAGAATTTGGTCTTTGTTAGGCACACAGCTTCTCCATGCATATTATATGAGTGGCATATAGTATATTGCATTGAAATAAATGTAAATTGAGGGCTGGGCATGGTGGCACCTTCCTGTAATCCCAGCATTTTCAAAGGCTGAGGTAGAAGGATCAGTTGAGGCTAGGAGTTTGTGGTCAGTCAGGGCAACATAGCAAGACCCCATCTACACACACACAGACACACACACACAATTAGCTGGGTGTAGTAGTGTGCCTGTAGTCCTAGTGTACTACACAATTAGCTAGTGTAGTGTACTACACTATTAGCTAGCTATGCAATTAGCTAGTGTAGTAGTGTACTACTAATTACCTAGTGTACTACACAATTAGCTAGTGTAGTGCACTATACTACACTACACAATTAGCTGGGTGTAGTAGTGCACCTGTAGTCCTAGCTACTTGGGAGGCTGAGGCTGAGGTGGGAGGATCACTTGAGCCCAGGAGTTCAAGACTGCAGTGAGCTGTGATTGCATCATTGCACTCCAACGAAAACAGAGCAAGACCCTGTCTCCAAAAAAATTAAAAAAGAAAGAAAAGAAATGTGAATTGACGTGATATAAAACCTTGAACAATCTAGGTCTTAGGTGTTTCTCCCCATTTTCCTGTCTTTTATTTTAGTATAACAGGCCTAAAATAATAGGTCTGTTTATTTTGGAATTAATAAAGGGCAAAGGGACCCTTTTAGAATCTTAGGTGCATAGGTCTGGAATTTAAATTTTACTGTGTTGAGGACAAAGCAGACCATGAGTCATAGTTTCCTAGGGCTTAAGTTATTTCCTGAAACGAAGTTAGCCCACGGGAACACTCATTTGTTAAATGGCACCCAAGTGACTTTAAAGGGCTTGCTGAAATGGTTAATGCAACTTCCCAAAATGTTTTAACTTAGTTCTAGGAAACAGCCAAAGCACAGTGAGAATTTGACTCAGGGTGAATGAAAGTTTTTTGAGTTACTAGGGAGAAAGTCACTATGTAAATTCAAGAGCTTAATTTGATCATCATTTGACTTACATGACAAGCATAGTTGTAGCTTTTCTCTGCATTTAAGCTTTTATTTGTTACTGAGAAAGTACTTAACATGGTGCATAATAGATAGCCTTCTAAGTGATGGATGAGAGGAAAGGCTATAACTTGATTATAGAAATGTGTTCATTTGTGTTGATGTTCTGGGAGCTTGTGCCAGCTCTCTACAAAGGTCACCTCGGTGTTGTTCCAACCCTTCTCTATTTGGATTTCCCTAAAATGATTAGCACTTTTTCTTTCAAAGATATTTTCTTATCTGATAATTTCAAGACATAAAAACAGGCGGTTCTGGTCCACATAGGATTATCAGCTCAATGCCACATATCAAACTGCCAGACTGAAGAGAAAATCACTGATCAACAAGCACATAGCTCAAACAGCAGCCAGGACAAATTGAGGCATTGATAAAATGCAGGAAAGCAATAAAATACAAGGTTGGAATGTTGGTGTGAGTGAGTGCACGTGACATGTAAGAACGTCTCTTACCTTTTCAAGGGCTGCTTCTCCTTGGACACAGTGGGTGTTAGCAATTAATGAATATGGTTTGGGCATTTTTGATGGGAATGGTGAGACATAATCAACTTAACCATTCAGATGCCAGGGCACATGTTTCAGGTCAAGAGTTCTTGTTTTCTAGACAAATGTAGACATCCTCACCCCGTGTACCATCAAGAAAGTAGAGGCCATGGTTGAAGTTGATGGGTCCTCAGTTTCTTATTACCAAGGCCCTGAAGTGTCTGTGCCTGCACTCATCTTTTCCCTGATTGCCACAATGAATTAGCATTCTTCTTTCTATCAAAGGTCTGTCCCTCCACTAGGGGTCTTGGATCCACCCTTCTTGGCTACTCAAACACTTTACCCTTTTGCCTTTCTGCTTCCCAGAGTCCTCTGCCCTTTTCTTAGCTGTAAATCTTTCTTTGAATGATTATACACTCTAGTGTTGGTTCCGTGGTCAAGGTGCACAGGACTATAGTCTACGTGTCTATAATTACAACATCGCCTGTAAATAGTCCCTTCTGGGTAGGTGCCATGCCACCAAACTTACATTTTCCTAAACTGGATCCATACATTTATGGCTCTGCAGTCACAGAAGGGGATTTAAGGTGTCCAGAGGATCATAGAGGTCTGTCGGAAATCCATGCTATAATTTTAGGGTTGACTGTGATTTAACTTTGTAAGTGTGTGATAATGCAAGCAATGATCTCAGACTTCTCAATCTTGATGAAAATGACTAGATTTGGAAGACTCAGCAAATTAAATGAGGTACCGCACTGGCAGCTCCTCGGGTCTCCCTCTGGCTAGTCTGGCTCAGAGCTGATTCCTAGCTTCAGCTTTTTGGCAGGTGAAGGGATACAGTATGTTCTACATTTACCTCTTTAATGTGTAGAAAGTCCTTAGCATCAAAGGAGATAGCCGTGCTTGGAACAGGCACATCCTCGTCCAAGGCGCCGCAGTAGCTCACATTTGTCTTCACGGCAAATGCTACAGGTTTGGACTAGGGACAGAACCATGGAATAAGGAATGAGGAAGGGAGGACAGAGGAGCATTTTAAATATTGAAACTCTGATCGTACCAGGTAATAAGAGAAATAACTTTCCAAAGAGGGATCTCAAATGAGTTTTACATTCTCAGGCAATATCAAGAAACCTGCAGAGACGACTCTGAAAACGATTCGGTCCTATCAGCCCAATCATTTTTCCTCTCCTGCGATACTTTCCAATATTCCAAATTTTAAAATGTGCTCTAAAGTATTAAGAGGGATAGACAAAGGCAGGGGAGAAAGACAGTCTCTTCTCTAATCTTAAAATCTGTGCTTATTTTAAATGATAACCAATACCTTCTTACCTTGGAATACAGGAAACGTGTGCTAGGTCTTTTTAAAAAGAAAAAAAAAAAGTGGGAAGAGGATAAAATGGTATTTTTGAAATAGTCCAGATTTGAAAACCTGTGGAATTCTATACAACAGACTATCTGGTCCTTCAAGGGAAAAGAAGGGTTAGTCAGCCTCAAAGCTGATGGGCAGGGCTCTTCACAGATCATCTTCTCTCTAGCTAACACAGCTGGTTTTGAAACTCTTTTTACACAAATGCCTCTCAGCAAAGTGCTCTCAGGCTGGCACAGCCCTGTGGGGACAAGTAAACCACCAACCTAAGCAAACGGTGCTGCCACCCACATTTGGGTGACCACAATGGCCACAAAACAGATTCTGAAAGAAAATTTTATAACAAAAATTAGCCACAGTGAGACACAAGATTCCTGATATTCTGAGCTGCTTTGTTACCAGCTTATATATTCATGCTGGGAATCTGACTGGGGAACAGCAGTTGAGGCTAGAACCTCACTGATGTCCCTTCACATGTACTGCAAGAAAAGCCCCTTCCACCAAGAGAGCACAAACATCACAGGTGTTGAGGCAAATGAAGACACCTAATTTGACTGCATTGTTCTCCTCCCACCTCTTTTTTTTTTTCTTTCTTTCTTTTTTTTTTTTTTTTTTTGAGACAGAGTCTTGTCGTCACCCAGGCTGAAGTGCAATGGCGTGATCTTTGCACTCCTCAGCTCACTGCAACCTCCGCCTCCTGGGTTCAAGTGATTATCTTGCCTCAGCCTCCTGAGTAGCTGGGATTACAGGGACATGCCACCAGGCCCGGCTAATTTTATTGTGTATTTAGTAGAGGTGGGGTTTCACCATGTTGGTCAGGCTGGTCTATAACTCCTGACCTTGTGATCTGACTGCCTCGGCCTCCCAAAGTGCTGGGATTACAGGCATGAGCCACTGCACCTGGCCCCTCTTTTTTCTTTTCTTTTTTGGTAGGGTTTTGCTCTGTTGCCCAGGCTGGAGTGCAGTGGTATGATCTCAGCTCACTGAAGCCTTTATTTCCTGGGTACGTGATCCTCCCACCTTAGCCTCCCAAGTAGCTAGAATTACAGGTGTGAGCCACCACGCACAGCCTCTCACCTCTAAAGATTTTACAAAAAAAATAGAAAAGGGAAGGAATTCACTTTATTTGGGCTTCTGTTTTTTCTTCTTCTAAAAATCAGAAAGACTAAATCAATATACCTTAGGAGTCTGTCATGGAGGGCAAAGAGGACAGACTGGCCATGACCTTGTCTTGTATTTTGCTATTGTGCATAAAATGTCAATGGACAAAAGGAGTCTGTGCTTCAAAAAATCAGAAAACAAACAAAACGAAGTTGGAAGCACACAGAATGGGAGATCCCTAGTGACTGTTCTGGTTCTAACTTTCAACTGTGCAAGTGTTTCCTTGCTGCTTCCTGTGGATGCAGCGATTTCTATGGAGGCCTCTCTTTGTGGAATATCTGAAGGTCTATTTTGGCAATGGCCTTTATTGCTCGTCTTTGCTGCACTTTTCAGAGTTGTTCAAAGTCCCGAACTTCACACTGAACTTGAGGTGGGACACTGAAAGCTAGAGAGAAGAGTAGAGAAACAAACAGGGCAATCCACAGAGCAACAGCACACGTGTGGCCTGTAATAAAGGCTGAGGTAATGGACGAGGAGGGGCCAGGAATAGACAGGGCGAGCTGGTACCTGGTGGGCTCTCTGCCAACACTGGGCATGGGAGGCTTGATATTGCTAAGTTGGAAGATAACCAATAATTCACCACTAAACCAAATACAAAAAGGTGAAGGTTCTGAGGAAATGCCCCTTTGGAGATGTTAACTAACCTCAACTAGAGGTGAAGGGATCAGAGAGCTTCCCAATCTGGAGGCTTATTAGAATAATCACGAAATGATTATTCCAGAAATGTGTGAGGTAGGGGAAGAGCAGCTGGTAGCCACTGAGCAGCGACCCACTTGTGAGCTAAAGAGAGGGAAAGAGAGTCACCTTTGCTCTCTCAAGCTGGATAGCTGCTTGCTGTTCTCTCTCCTGTCGAATTGCTTCCCGGTCCTCTTCCAAAGAGACATCGGAGTCAGACGGCCTGCTTGTGTAGGAATCCGCTGAACCCTGGCAAAGAAAACAGAATAGTTTGAGATGATGTGTAGCTTCTTAAATTGTCACATCCATAACAGTATCCTGGGGTGAGTTCTTTTCATTTGCCTAAAATTTGATGCACACACTCCATGCCTTATTGCAGATATAAATTTAGATGACAGAATATAGTTAAGCGTCTGAGTTATTCGGAAAGTAGCAATGTTGTGAAGAAAAATATTTTGACTAGATTAAGTGCTAGGAAGTAAACTGCAATAAAAATTATGTGATACTCAGCACCAATTCTTCTTGTTTTTGTGCTATATTAAGCCCATATCACTTGTGAAACGCTAGTTTTCATCTATCTTCTCTTTTACATATACATCTAAAGGAAAAAGAGACTCAGCTTATTACAAAAGATAAATCCTACCTGTATTGGGGCTATGGGTCATCTATTTGTCTAAGATTTCAATATAGTAAAGCATCATCCTACATTAGTAAAATGATTTTCCAGTTTCAGTGTCAACACTATTGAACTCTTTCACTACTAAAACTTCATTGTCCTGCAGCGGCCCAGACGTGGTCAACAAGAACACTGAGCAGAAAAACAACCTTGAGGATGAAAACAGGGATGTTCTCAGTTGAAGCCCACACTAGAAGAGCTATTTAAATAGCACTGAAGGCTGGGCGCGGTGGCTCACGCCTGTAATCCCAGCACTTTGGGAGGCCCAAGTGGGCGGATCACAAGGTCAGGAGTTTGAAACCAGCCTGGCTAACATAGTGAAACCCCGTCTCTACTAAAAATACAAAAATTAGCCAGGTGTGGTGGCGGGCGCCTGTAATCCCAGATACTTGGGAGGCTGAGGCAGGAGTGAGGCAGAGGCTGCAGTGAGCCGAGCCGGCGCCATTGCACTCCAGACTGGGTGACAGAGCAAGATTCCACCTCAAAAAAAAAAAAAAAAAAGCACTGAAATCCAGTCTGACTGATGTGGCCAAGTTAAAAAGTCAACCACCCCCTCCATGCCTCCCCCCACAAAAAACCCCGGAGGTTTGTCTTATGGCTGCTACAGGAACATCATCCTTACAGTTTCCTTAAGCTGGCATTAGAAGTTGATATTTGCATAGATGGTAACATTTACACAGCAGAGGTATTGGGAGGACTGGTGTATTTGATATGTTTCATAAATCATGCACAGGTTTTGAAAAACATAGACCTATCCATATAGCTGAGAATTTGCTGTCCACTGGGGGGAAGAAGAGCTTTAAGAAATAGTTGACTGCTGAATCTGGCCCTTTGAAAGTTTTTCTACATGTAGAAATGTTTATTTGTGAATTTGCTGGCTTTAAGAGCAACTTTGTCTCTCAGTAGAGGCCATCATTCTAGCGAAGGTAGCATAGATTTTCCCAGCAGCCTAGAACAAGAACTCCTGGCTAGCGGTTTTATCAGAGTGCCCAGTCAAGCCCTGGTTCCAAATTTTGCCTCTGCAACGTACTGCAGAAAACATTATAGAAGTTACTGGACCACTCTGAGACAGTCTCCTTGTCTATTAAAGAGGGACACTGCCTACTTACTGAGTTCTTGCTATCACACCAGCATGGGCTAGATACTTTGGACACTCTTTCTCACTGAATCCTCACAGCAGTGGGAAGGGAAGGCTGAGATTCAAACGCAGGTAGTTCAGCCTTAGAGCCAGCAGATTCACATCCCACACTGAGCTGCATTTGACATTAAAATACCTACTCCAGGATCTGGCACATAACAGGCACACAATAAATCAACTTTTTCACCCTCGTTTCCTAGTGCTGACATTTTCACATTGATAAAAACAAAAAGCATTAATTTCTCAATGATTATATATACACAATAACCCATCTTGAAGTGTAGCCATTTTTCTTACTGTATTTACTGCATAGAAAATGTCCTATAAACCTGATAATCGGAATGTGTCCAAATCCATGTACTTTATGTAGTGCTTCTGAAAGTGCCCTTTATAGAGGAAATGTATTTGTTAACTGAATTATAATGAAATTCCTCCATGCAAATCTACTAGGGAAAAATTTTGGACCTACAAAACGAATCAGCGCAGGGTGACTGTTTCATAGACATATTCATTGCCTAAAAAGAGAGCTATCTTGAAGTCCTTTAAACCAGAGAGTTCTCTCAGAACACATCTTTTGTCTGAATTTAGGTACACCTGCATAAAATCCAGAAGAAGACGGAAAAAAAAAAAAAACAATATTTCAATTTTTCTTTTTCTTTTTTTTTTTTTTTTTTTTTGTAGAGATGGGGCCTTGTCATGTTGCCCAGGCTGGTCTCAAATTCCTAGGCTCAGGCGATCCTCCTGCCTTGGCCTCCCAAAGTGCTGGGATTATAGGCGTAAACCACTGTGCCTGACCCAGTGTTTCTAAAATACCGAAGGAAACAGTTTGGAGTTAGTCCTAGGCAATGCTTTGCTGGAAATGTGATATGTGATGGACCATCCTAAGGGAGCTGGACTGGCTGCTGTGAAGACATTGGGAGTATCAAGTGAGACTATGGAATATAAGTCAGTAAGAAGGCACTTGCCTAGTTTTGAAAACATGTTCTGGGGATGGTTAGTGCCTACAGTTCACAAAAAAAGCAAGCTGCCTGCTGGGGTAGTGAGTCAAGCAGCTGAATACACACTCCACTACTGCCACTAGAAGACAGCTGATTTCCTGCAACTACCTTAACAACTTTTCAAATCCTGGCATTTAATTATCTCTGAGTACACAAGAAGTGACTCAGGGACTCCTACAAATGAACTTTATGTTGAAATGTGAACGACATTGTAAGAGTCTCAAATCTAATAAACTCTACTATGGCCAAATGTGTAGAAGCAGAAGTTTCTGTTTACTCCCTGTTTCTAAGGATATTGGTAGAGGGAAAAATAAAGCACTGTGATACCCATTTTCATAATCAGTGTTATATCATCACAACATTTACTTTTTTTTTTTTTTTAACGTCATCTCCATTGCTTTGTATATGAAAAAGCAAAAGTCCAACATTCAAGAGTCCAAATTTGGCCCACAGACATGTTCTGCGGGCTTGATACCGGCTTGGTTTCTTGTTTTTATTTATTTTTGGTTTGGTTTGGTTTATTTTGTTTCAACTAGTTGAAAGGGAGTATGAACATATCCCAGAAAAAAAGGAAGGAAAAGATAAAGGAAAGGATCTGTGTTGTTTACAAAGGCACAGAGGGAAGAGCAAGTGAGCTAGAGAGGCTAGAAGGAAATTGCCTGGGCCTGACCCCTGGAAGTATCCAGGAAGGGCAGGTGGCCATGCGAGGCTCAGTAAGACCAGGACAGGTTGGAGAGGCATCACCCAGATATCTGGTTAAATAGTTAACGATCGAAAAGACAGAGAGATGGCAAGAAGGAAAGAATGTTAGATGCTAAGAGAACACAACTGAAGACACAAATGTTACTAGGCCTGGCCAAAGCTGGAGAGACCTGATGGAAGCCCCATCAGCTTATAATTTTCTAGCATTCTGTTTCTTAAAACAGGTAGGAGCAAGCTACCCAATGTATCAAGTGATCTAAAACTGGGCTGTTAACCCACGTGCAAGAAACATGACAGTGACTAGTCCTTCAAAAGCTCTTATGCAGACACCTCTGCAAGTCATACCATGTAGTGATAAAGTCATATTGCAGTGAGCCAAGATCACGCCACTGCACTCCAGCCTGGGTGACAGAGCCAGACCCTGTCTCAAAAAAAAAAAAAAAAGAAAAAAAGAAAGATATTTTGGTCTAGTCTTTTTTCCCTTTAGGGAATCTTCTCAAGTACAAAAGGCAAAATGCAGATAGTAACACTGGAAAATCAGCTAGCTGTGGTCTTCTGAGAGAAGGAAGATGATCTTAAGTGAAACAATGCAAGGGCTTCTTCTCATTCACAGAGAGAGGGTGCATGATATCAACAGGACAGCAGCCATGGCTGTTGGAGCCAGACAGTATTGGGTTTGACGCTGTCACCAGTTCTAGTTGGCTGTGAATCTTAAGCAAGTTATTTAACCTTCTGAGTCCTAATTTCCCCTGTTAGAAAATGTAGATAATAATGCACACCTTGTAGAGTTTCCTGGTGTTTGGTTTCAGATGAAACATCATTTCTTTTTCAACATCATGGGGGAAATTTGGAAAATACCAGCAATTAAACTTTGACCCACTAATTAAAGGTTTGGCAGCTTTTTCACATTAAATTTTTGGCTGCCCTAGAGTCTTAGGATTGTTCTTTGTTTAAAAATAGCTTTATTGAAGTATAACTTACATATACATAAAATTCACACATTTTTAGTGTACAATTCAATGATTTTTAATAAATTTACAGAAGACAATTTATATCACAATCGAATAGAACATTTCTAACCCCTCAAAAGAAACCTTGTGCCTATTTGCAGCTATTCTCCATTCCCAGCTCAGGACGACGCATCTACTTACTTATCTTGTCCTTTTAAAACGGAAATAGACTTTCTCTTTTTATGAGTAATTTTAGTATTTAGGCAAATCATTAAATTACAGCAAGGAGAGGCAAGGGTCTACAAAGGTTTGATTTTAAAATGCAACCAGGCCGGGCATGGTAGCTCATGCCTGAAATCCCAGCACTTTGGGAGGCTGAGGCAGGAGAATTGCTTTGAGCCCAGGAGTTTGAGACCAGCCTAGGTAACATAGTAAGGCCCCATATCTACAAAAAATAAATTTAAAACAAAATTAGTTAGGCATGGTAGTGTGCACCTATAGTCCCATTACTTGGGAGGGTGAGGTGGGAGGATTACTTGAGCCTGCAAGGTCGAGGCTCCAGTGAGCCATGATCATGCCAAAGCACTCTGCCTGAAAGACAAAACAAGACTCTGTCTCAAATAAATAAATAAATAAAATAAAATGCAATCATACTGGAACAGAATCTTGCCACTGTTGGAAGTGCTGGGCCTCCTAGCCCCACAATCCCAGTCTCTCACAACCTAGCTTAGCTCTCCATTCACTGAATGCTGACCATCAGTCGGATACTAGAGTGGCCACTACAT